AGTCTAATCGCAATTCCCGATAGCTTGCTGATCTAAAAACTAAGTCAGATACATGGTTTGACCGACAAGGGACGAACAATTTGATGAATTACTTTTTTTCATGATCTTCTTTAACTGTTTGAAAGATAAACTTAAACTCTAAGTGATGGCCAACCCATATACAGCGACACATTAAGGTGCCGCGAATAAATTCAGGAAAATTCATGACTTACCACTAAGGTGTGCCGTAGCAAAAAAAAGGGTTGTCCAACACTGACTTAGAATATTATAACAAGAGATGTCTTCATTTTGACTGTTGCTTAGCTGACATTTGAATCAATAGACCTTAGTAAGTATAATTTCGTGAGTATTGTAAGAATCCTTGTTATACCAACATAACTTAATGTTATAATTAGAAAATTGACGATCTCTGGTGGGAATCGAACCTACTTTTTCACAAAAATAGACAAATTTCCGAACTATTGTCTAGCAATTTGGTTATGGAGACCATACGCTTCAACTAGCATTTTTGTCTTTATATATATATATATATAGCTCTGTACTTTATACTTTGGGGCCTCGTTATTTTTTTCCAGAAAATCTGAATCAAATTGAATTGTTTATATTTTGTGTGAAATATTTCCATTACAAGTAAAAAAAGAAATTTTCTATTGACTACTTATGACTATTCAAATCGAGGACCCCCAGTATTCTACTCTTTTTTGACACCACTAGCTAGAATCATTGATTAACGAACCCCTCTGAGTCACAAATAAGATTCTCTTTGTGACACATTGATACACATCGTAAAAACATCAAAATCAATTTAATACGCAATTTATCTCTATTTAAATTGTAAATGTATTCTCATGAATATTCAGATGAAATGCTTAAATATTCATCAAAACAAAAGATGTTGGTTTGTGGATGAGATTGAATATTAAAAGAAATTTCTCATTTCAAATCCTTAAATTTATCAGAAAATGAAGAAAACTTTCAAATATCAAATCAAAATTCTGACTTATTCGAACCTACAACATTCTTAAAAACTATTTTAAGCATCTCCTCATTGACACATCTGAGCTTTGGGATTTCATAAATGCTAATCCCACTGCTAAAAATTTTCTTTTATTCCTGTCACCCACATATCAACCATAAAGCAGTAGGAGCGCACTTTTCACTTGAGATCATAATTCAGACACCCTTAAAAAAATTTATGTAACTTAAAATCGTAACAATTGATATTTTCAGAACTCCCCAAAACGCCAAGTCGTGCAGCACATTTAGCAAACAAAAATTGAACGAAATCTTAAAGATAAATTTCATATCATCTTGAAAAATGTTTGACAACAAAAAGGTTGCAGAGCGTGTGCTTTAAATCAGCAGTCAGATAAGATTACGTCCGATATCTAAAATTAAATAAAATTTGATTTCCGGCTACTGAATTTTTCTTCTTATTATTGTCATTGTTGTACTTTTGATATTTGATCAGAAAGGTGATTTTTTGGATGTTGGGTCGTTCATAAATGATGTTACGCATTGAATAGAATTTTTTTGTCTTCTCTCTTACGTTTTGTGTTGAAGATATTTAAAGAACTAGCTAGGTTAGTGATATATAGTCTCAGATCATCCTTACACTAGTGTAGTTAAGATCTAACGTTCCTTAGATGTAGCATGGTCACCTATTATGATGTTATCTGCCACCCTACACCTTATGATTATCTTAAACGCTTGCTGTGATACTTCCACTACCACTTAAATCTAAGAAATCATTAGAATGAATAATCCACAGTATATTAGCGATAATTAACAAGCTTTGCTCATCTTTACGCATCAAAACCAATTTAAATTATGACGAACGGAATCTAATGGTGAAATTGATGAATAAATCCAGTAAATCTCGTCATTATCCAATTTTAATATCATGAATGAAATATGAAAATACTTTAAGTTCTCAGAAACAATTCATGAAACTCTCTGGTAGGTAATAGCTACATAAACTTTATTATAATTTTCAATATAAACACAAAATCAATTGAAGTTCGCAGAAATTTCATTGAGAATTGTGAAAGGAAACTTTAATTGAATTGAGTTTGTTTACATCTGGCTTGAATAACAAATTAGATTGAATCGATTCGATGTCAATTAATAAATCATTCAGCAGCTGATTTATTCTTAGTAAAAAGGTTAAAGTTCTGAGAATAATTGATTTGTTTCTAATGGAAAATGTTGTTTAATATGAAATAAAATTTTACTTTCGGAAATTGATAAGCGTTATCTTAAAGCACGTTGGAGGTAATGTGACGTATTTTTCAGACGCTAGTATCTATTTATTGTCAGTTGTTATAAAAATAGCTTAATTTTTATTTTTGACCATATCAGAATTATTGATAATTTAGATTAGAAGCTAATTTTGGACGCAATTATGGAGTTCATAGATTTTTTGGTATCAGTAGCTTTGTAATCTTAATAGAAATTAATCAATATACTAGCTAAATGGTCTGCAAGTTTAAATTCTGAGAAAATTGAAGCTTTTATTTATTGGGTTTGATTTTAAAGTTAGAGGTTTGGAACTGATAAATATTGTTGATAATTCTTAATCATTTTGATCATTTCCACACTATTGATTAAAGCAAATCAAATTAGAGGATTCAAAATTGTAGTCTTATCATAGTCTACATAAGGGACCCTATCGTAGTCTCAGAATAATTTATTTATACTCTTTTTCGTTTGCTTGGCAGACTAGCTACAGGCTGACTCCTCTGGATACTTAACTCTAGTCAAAATAAATTTTTCTGTATACATTGTTGTCTTTTGATTCTTCATTCTAAGGAAAAATAGCCCGAATAGCTCTGGAAACTTACCCAGAAGCACTTGTAGAAACTAGGAGGATCTAAATGTTCATCTTGCTCTCCTCAACATTCTATTGGTTGCGGAATGTTAACGATTGACAGATAGAAGTCTAAAGCAGTGATACACGACCTTTTTTGGGCAACTACACAACTTGATTCCAAGACATGACTAAAGCCCCACACAACATATGTACGGTTCGTGGGAATTTGATTAAAATTAGTTTAGAGCAGTGTTTCTCAAAATTTATTTGGTCCACGGCACATTTTTATACATAAAAATTTTGCGGCACACTAAATGATTTTCATGACCTTTCCGAAGTCATAAAACATAAAAATATTAAGTATAGTTTAGTAATCAATTGTTCCGTGGCACACAGTTTAAGAACCACTGGTTTTGAGCAATAGTCAACATCTAAGGAGACCATAAAAATAGTTTGATTAAAAATGTGACACCACATCATAATTATTTTTTACATATTCACAACGTCATCATATTTCTATTATGATGCAACAGCTACTCAGAATGAACGATTAGGATTCTTTGAAATAGCTACAAACTTATAAATTGATTAAATGCCAATATTTATGGGAACTTCTGGTTTGACTCATGTACAATATATTACAATTTTAATGATTCATGCTTAGCTGACCTGCTTATCAACCCTCAAACTTGACTCAAGTGAGCATCCCATGCTCATCTAAAATTGCATCACTTCACATCAAAGCATTGATCCAAATTAATACAAAAAGGGCGGCATATATGTATGATGATGATGAAAAAAACCACTTCCTATATCAAATCAAAGAAGGTGGATGAAGCTCACTCAATTGTTAAATAATTTCCCCACAGGAAATTTAAATGTGACCTTTAAAGGTGCGCCTTAAAAAAATTTATTTTCTCAAAAATATTTTATTGACCGATATTATTCATTAGAAGAAGTACGACAAAAACTTTTTTTCATTCATAAAAACACAGTCAGTCATAAAACTTTTAACCATAATCAATTTCATAAACTTCCTGTGAATGATCAAAAATATCAAAAAAAAAGTTGACCTGAGATCAATTAGCAACAAAGGAAAGAGTTTAGCAGCCTCCCATTAATAGTCGTCAATTAGCACCACTGGTAAGATTTATTTTTTGCATCTTATTTTTTTATTTATTTATTTTCAATTCTTCTTCCTTTTGCTTATTTTTACAAGAGTCTGAAGAAGAAGAAAAAGGCACGAATGAGGCAACATTTAAAGAAAAACATAAGAGCATAGATGTTGGCACATCTCATAATGTATCGAGATAGAAGTAATCGGAAATTAAGAAACGAGCTTATGTTTTGATATTTTTAGCATACTTAAAATGCATTTAATGTATGGAGGAACACGTCGCTTGTAATGTTTGGGGATATTGGCATGTTAGGTCTCATATTGTGGAGTGAGATTGAAGGATATGATAGTTTAGGTATGTTGGTGAATCTGCTAGAGTTAAAGATAAGCTTCTGTGGTCGACTTGTTAGCAAACAGACCGAAAATCTGTATTAGGAGGCGAGTTCGAATCTCATCAGACCTAGATGCAAATATTGAAACTTACTAAGAGTATGATTCTCAAAAATACAATTCTAATCCATCCGTCACTCACAAACAGCCCCTCAAAAATATTCTCTAATCTTTCATCCTTCTCTTCTCTTCATAATACGTAATAATTCTCTCGTAGGGTAAATTGTGTCGTCGACATCTACACATTCATTCACTTGTGGAGGATTCTTTACATTTTGTCAAATAAACAACAACAAAAAAAAAATGTGTTTTAAAATTCAAGAAAGGACTTTAAGAATGAAAATTGTATTCCTTTTCCATTCGGAAATTTCTCTTTCCGGAGACGCCGCACACCACAAGAAACTTTACCCTATTCTCTCGTAAACTCACTTCCTCTCTCACTCTCGCCAACACACAAATACTACAATTTCATTCATAAAAATTTTTCAGGTCGTTTTTTTTTGTCTTCTTCTTTTCTGTTATTCATTCATTAGAGTTGAGCGAAAAAAAAAAGTTTTTTTATATACATTTTCTACACTGTCAGTTAGTTCAGAAAGAGCGGTTGTACGATAATCATCATGTTCGATACATGTGCTGAATATTTTACGCGATTCTCGTGAGTTTCAATGACAAAAAAAAAGGAATAAATTGAAATTGTGAAAAAATAAGAAATGAAACCAAAAAATATTTATTAAAAAAGTAAGTGATATAATTAAAGGAACTAATCAATTAATTGAAAGAAAGAAAAAAAAGTGTTATTGTGTTACAAAAAAGTGAGAGCTTAATTAATTGCCAACGCATATCAAATGAATTAAAAGAAAAATAGGTGAAGCCGGAAACTACATTGACAAATAAAGTAAAGAGAAATATATTCAATTTTTTTTTAAAAAAAAAACAATAATAAATTAGCCTAATTATCAATTTGAAATTGACTGTGTCAAATATTAATGTGTATTTAATAGATAGTTGATGGGGTAATTGAGTGATTGTATAGTACAACTCTTACTATAAATTTATTAATATTTTATTACGCTCACTCATCGCTTACTTAATTTATTCTATTATCATCCGACAAACGCATTTTTTTTTTGTGGCTGACTCTTCCTTCACATTTTTATTTATTTCTGTCCAGAGAGACTTTATTTTATTCATATTTTTTCAATACCGTCGATTAGATTGTAGGTGTTGTGGGTTTCGGATATTATTTTACATACATTTGCCCAATAATAAATGCAAACAAATCTTTCAAAAATCGTCTCGTAAAGTTTATTTTTATTGTTTTGAGATTTGTGGACGGAGGTTGAGGAGAGGATGTTGTATAAATATACTTTTAGGTCTGATTGATCTAGCGCATATTTAAATTGGACAATGCACTTTATATTGACGTGGATGTCTTGAATCTGATTCTTATTTATTGGATATAAAATAATGATTATTGAAGTTTTATGCAATTGAGGTTTGGAGCGTGTGTGGTGGGGATAGGTAACATGTTGTTAAGCTGGATTATTTTGAGGGATTTGAAAATTTTATTTTATTTGATGTTTTAAAATTATTGCTTTTTTTTATTTTTTGAAATTTTATTGTTTTTTTGAATTTTCTGAATTTTTAAAATTTTTTCAATTTTTTTTGAATTATTTTAAATTAAAACTTATTTTAAAGTAAAACTTTTTTAAATTTAAAAGTTTTGAAAATTTAAATTTTTTTAAGATTTCTAATTTGAAAGTTTCAGTTTTTGAATTTTTTTTAAACGTTTTATTAGCTTAACTTCTTGATTTTTATAAATTCCAAAAAATTCAAGTTTTCATATTTTTTAAAACTCAAGTTTCTAGATTTTTTTATATTCAATTGAAACTTTTCTAATATTGTTCATTTTTTTACTTTTTAACATTCTTAAAAATATTCTTTAAAGTTCATTTAATTATTAAAATCAAACATTTAAATTCATTTCTCAAAAGCAATCCCAAAACCATCAAATGTATATTTTTAAACTCCCATTCATAAAAATATATAAATTTTGTTCAAATTTACATCAAGAATATTCTTGACGACATTCTGAATAATTAAACAGATTCCAAAAATAGGATAATCATTATTACAATGCTTCAAGACTTGTTCATCGAATTATTTTGTTTTAAATGTATTTTAAGACAAAATATTAATAAATTTCTTGAGAAAACACAATTTATTTATATTGCTTTTAACATTGCGGAATTTTTGAATACTTCAACACTTTATGTCAATGATATTTGACATTTAGATTGCCATTGCCTGCAGCAATTTTTTGTTTTATCAATAAAGATACTCAGACTGTATTATTTTGGTAAATACTAGATCAAATTTTAAACAATTGCTTTATTTTTAACAATTTCTGTTATGTTTTGAGCCTTAATGTGGGTAATATGGTCTTATATGCTGACAATTTAATGTAAATTAAGAATTTTTAATACTTACCCAATGACAAATCTCCTAAAATCAATTAAACTCACTTTATCTACCTCGTTTAATAAAGACAAAATTAGAAAAGGTCCCCAAAAATCCAAAAATAATCTTCAAAGAAAAAAATCAAAGCTTCCTGTGACAAAGTCATAAAACTATCAATTCATTCAAATCAAACTGCTCATTTAATCAATGAAAAAGTGCATCCAAAAAACAGTCAGTCCAATGCCGCTACTTTTCATTTCTCTTTATGCCTTACATGCAGATAGTGGGCCAATCACATTTCCGCTCACATTGAATTTTTGTTGTTTTATTTCTTTTTTGGGGTCGTTCATAAGTTTCGTCACATTTAAGGGGGTTTTGGGTTTTGTAACGCTCTATATCAGCAATGTCTGTTTTTTTTTTGCCACGACACACTTTGATGGCATACGGTACGTGGGATTTTTTCAAATTTCTTCGGAGCACATGGGTTGTCCATCACTGCTTCATATGAAATTTTTCTGATTCCTATGAAAAAAAGGGGGCAAAATTTTAATGATACAAAATATGCGAATGAACCCTTTCGATGAAAGTGCATTTGATCGATAAAACAAATGAGAAAGAAACACAAAAATTGATTCAATGATGATGGGTTTTAGGTATACATCTTTTTTCCGTGTATTAAAAATAATCATAAATTTCCATTTGAGCGGTTTTTAGTGAAGCATTGGGGGTATATAAAAAGGTTCTACTCGTTTTGATTGTTCGATTGGAAATGTTCATATTGGTGAACAAATAAAAAAGGAAGAGATGAAATTGACGTACGAGAATTGTTGTCATGGGATGAGATTTGAGAAGCATATAATCCATAATGTCCTTATTAATTCAAAAATACAATTGAAATCTTCTTACCTCATCTAAAAATAATATATTATAATGCTAACGATATTCACACACGTCTAGTGAAAGAATCTACACACTTAAATGTCAATTAGAAAGGTTTTGACATTTACATGACGTTAGGGATGTAGTCAGGGGTGTGTAGGTGTGTACCAGGCTCTCCTTTGCCCACTTGAATCCACATCAATAACATTGTCTGCTAGCCTCCCTAGCTCCATACCTGCACGTCGAATACGTGTCGCATCTCACACATCATTATGTATCTCCAGTTGAATAATCGAGAAAATTGAGGAAATTAATTTCAAATTATTGCAAATAAATTTTTAATTTTCCCGCAAAAAATTATCCTCAAATCCGACAGATGTCGCTTGGGTAGCGATTACATTAGTATTTGTGGTGACTTTTATGATAGTGTGAGTAGAGCAGATTGAGAGGTTTTGAGACAGTTTGCAATAAGTTTCAAAGATTATAAACAAAAAAATTTAAAAGTATTTAAAAAAAATCGTGAAAAATTTGTAAGAAAAAATTAAAATAAATTAAAATGTATTTAAAAAAATTGCGCCAAAAAAAAGTGTAAAAGTGAAAAGTCAAGCACAAAAAAAGTCCGTTGAGAGTTTCCCACAATACAGTCACTCACATCAACTCAGAAGCTACATTTATTATTGAGAGAGAGGTTCTTAAAATATATAAAATAAAATTTTAAATTTAATATTTTTTTAGGTGATAAGACATTGAAAGGATCTCAAAATCCTTAATAAAAGTAATCTATGAAGTGCATAAGTGATAGATAAAGCAAATGAATCGCTCAATGAAAACTTTATGAAATAGTAAAATTAATTGAAAAATATTAAGAAAGAAATTATATACACACAAATATATATAAATGAAAATGGAACAACTAGTACGAACGGAAGAGTTTTTGAGAGTCAAAATTGGTAAGTTCTGGTGCATATTTATCTATTAAAATGTGTTTATAGAGTGATAAAGATATCAAATGATAATGCGATAAACATCCTGTGCAGAAATGTAAATAAAAATTGTGTAAAAATTTCATTGACAAGTTTGAAAAAAAATTAGCACACAAAATGCATCGCCAAGGAGAGACTTCATTCATACTTTATCTCGACTTTTTTTTCTATTCATCTATGTTTGTTCAATGTTAACCCCAAATTGTGTACGATAAAAATATGCATCACAGTATGAGCAATTTCCTTTCAATCAAGGTTTCCTACGCGAGAGCACAAGCAACATATATACAGCATCTTTGAGAATGGAGAATATAAAAGTCTCTGTAATGATGTGTTGCAGGTGTGAAATAAAATTCAAAAATATTCAATGAAATGATCTTTAAAATTCACATTGTAATCGACATGCATCAGTCGATGGCATAATGAAGCGACTAAGCTCAATTAAAGTACTAAATTCATTGTCAAATATGACAATTTTTTGCATAATTACAAACAAAAAAAAAACACTCGAATGGAGAGACTTGAGGCATAAGAGAATACACAGAGTTTCATTCTGATGAATTATTTTAATGAATGGAGAAGAAAAAAAATGGTTTTTCACTAACACACTGACATCATACATAAAAAAAATATATTGTACATGTACATTCAGTTCAGAAACTCTAGCTATGAATGAAATTGTATGTATACATATATTCGAAAATGCGATTGTAATCATTCACTGTGAGACTTCTCGAAGACATGACGGGAATTTTTTTTTATGTTTAACTTGATTCTTCACACTTTTTTTTTACTCATCGTCATCATTAAGCATTGATGTTCCTACATTCTTATTATTTGACAATCGTAGAGCATTCACGAGATGAAAATCAATATGAATTTTAGAAACATGTTCATGTAGCTCATTGACCGCATGGATTGAGGGAAATTTGTATATACGAGGAACTGCATGTGTGTGGCAGATACAAAAAAATATATTTTATTATAGAAGAAAAAAAAAACAGCAACAGAGCTGCGTGGAGGGTATTTAAATATAAAATTAGGTCAAAAATGTGTGTATTGCATGCAGCACATGATAAGAGAACTAGAAACAATGTTTGCGAGAGAGAGGAATTAAAGAAGAAGACTGACTTGTGCATAATTATCATGTGCATACATTTAGTCTCAGTAATGAATGTCATGCAATGCAAATTCCAATGTTGACACACGCACATCTATACTCTTGTGAATTGAATTCTATATTCTTTTTTTCTTCTATTTTATGAATGACGTGACGCGCGCACATTTCTCTGGAACCGAAAAATAATTTCTTTTTCTTGAATGAAAATTTCCCCCCTTATTTGTCAGTGACACATACATGAAAAAAGAGTTTTCCATTGAGAAAAAAAACTAGATATATGTATGTAGATAGAACAAACAACCCTCCCTAATCCGACGACGATCCTTTTTAATTCCTCGACATTCTCAAGCATGCTTCATATTTATGAATGAATAAATGAATGAATGAACGGGTGGGTGGAGTGCTGTGAAGGTTTTTTCGGTAGAATTATTCAAGAATTTCAATGAAAATTTATGGCAAGTCTTTAAGAATGTTTCAAATATTTTGTTTCATTCGTGCTTCTCCTCTCTTCGATGTGGTTCGTTCTGAATGAAATTTTTTTTATCGACATCACTCAGGCACAAGAATTAAAATAATCCAAATTCGTAGAATTAATTAAATGAAATTAATCTGTAACGTCAAGAGATTCCGTGAAAATTCCAAGCCACAAAATATTCCGAAACACTCTTGAGGGATATGATTCATATAAAGCCATGAATTAATGTCTATGACTCTTTTGTGGTTTTTTAAAATGAAATTTTATCACGAAATGTTTTGGAATTACATTAATTTTATTTATGAGTGAGTGCAGTTCAGTTGCTAGGAGCTGATTATGATGAAATTAAGGAGGTTAGTGGTTTGGTCCAGATTTAAATTATCTGGATGCTACTCAGAATTTTGCGGGAGATTTAAATTTAGAATTTTTGCTAGTTTTCATTAAAAATCAAGGTTTTATTTCTTAATTGTTGGTCCTGGAACCAGTTTCTAGCGCTGTTCTTAGTCTCGTGACTTAGCATTGAAAAGCAATGAACGGGATCCTTAGTATCCATAGAAGCCGGCCCCTAAAAGTCGAATTCTTTATCTATCCATCCAGTTGTTGCAATGATAGGTGTTTTTTGGTTCTGTGAGCTCTAAACCATTGTCCTATAACCTTTTATACCGTCAGCATTACAAAATGCATCTTAAATCTACTTCTAGAATCACAAATTTAGAGCAACCCGGCAAATTTTTAACCCAAATAGCAGTTCTACTAATTGAACAAATCTACAAGACAATTTCGAAGAATTTGATGAAAAAATCGATAAATCCATTCCTCTCAATGGCACATCACTGTCATAACATGCATCATCTAAGAAATCTTGCAATCTTCTTCGTCATTAATCTACGTTGATAGTCACGATATTTATTATTATGATGTTGAAAGATGAAAATTGTCTATGAGGTGATAAATTTTATCCCCATCCGAAGCTCAAAGGTCAGAAAAGAATGCGTGAATGAAAATAAATTTTCATTGATTTTTCTCTCTTCCTTCATCACATGTATTTATATACACATGTAATAATGTGCAGTTGTGTGTCTCGATTTCTCGACTTCTCAATGAATTTTTTTTTTCTGTTCGTCTTTAAGAAGAAAAGCTGAATGAAAGGTTTTCCTTCTCTATATTTTTATTGTCCCGCGTCGTGTCATTTATCACTAGCAATGGTTCGTGTATATTTTTTTTCTTTCTATAATTCTTGTATCTTGACTGATTTATGAATGGAAATTGCTGAAACATATTTTTTTAGCCTCTTACTTAGGGGGGTGTTGTTAAGTGATGGCTATGTGAGCTCATATTGAGGGTGCAGTAAACTTTTGTTGCAAATTAGTGAGTTCTAGGTTTGCTCTACGCTAGAAATAAAAATTGATGTAATTCACTATGTTATAAGGATAAAAAGTCATTTTGATAAAGATTTGGTATCAAAGAAAGTCTAGCAGCTAGCTTCTGGACATCACACATCTCCAGGATTCATGTTCTTGAGGAATCTTAATTCATATTCACTAGCATAACTATGTTCACACTTAATAAACTAGTTTATTCTTCTTTATATCTACAATACACTCAAGAAATCAGCCATAGACGCTCTCTCCTTCCTAAAACTCAATCATCATGTCTAAACATTCCCCACACACTCCTCCTTCGCATTGCAATCTAATGCTGGCTTCTCTATTCATTTCACGCTAGTCTGAGCAAGCTATTTTTATTACGAGGAGGCGCATTAAAGGAAATTGATAGTGGAAAGAGAGGCAAATACAACTGATAAAAAAGCAATATTTAGTCATAGATACAGTTTCCATATTTCAAGTGCTGTCCATACTTAATTTTTTTTTTCATTCATTCAATACTTCTTATCGCAGAAATTTGTTCATTTTTCTGTAGTTTCCAATTTACAATCAATTTTATTTCTTCTTCCTACTTCCCCGGGTTCCATTCATTCATGTGTTACGCATTTTTTGTTTTATCTTGACATGATATTACTTATTTTTCTGTATGCATTTACTTTCTTATTTAGTATGTATGTAAGCAGTGAAGAGTGCTTTTTGAGTATTTGAGATTAAGATAAATTAAACTTCTTACAAATCACTTTGTACGTACATAAGCTTTTAGTTCCGTTTGTCTGGCATTTAAATTGCTTGTGATTTATAGAAATTTAAATGAAATAAGAGAGAAAAAAACAAAAGTTTTTTTCAGAAGACGAGAATATATGCCACTTAGTGGACCTCATATGATTATTATTATTTTTTTTTGTCTGTCAATAGAGAGATTTGTGTTCTTAATCATTTGAAAAATAGGAAAAGTCGATGGCAGGAGGATGGGGGACGTTCAGTCATGACGTTCATCCAAGAGTACAATTTTTTAAGCCCCCCGCCTCTAGTCATACATTTTCAGACTTCATGTTATTTATTTGACTGTCATCAAAATCTATGAAACCCCCAAAAAGCAAGAAGTCATGACAAACATCATTAGCAAACAGCCCCGGATTTAAAAAAATTATAAAGAACTTAGTTTTATTGATCTGATGAATAAGTTTTATTGTTAAATATGTCTGTGGGTTATTGACAGTTAGAATCTGAATTTGGTCACGAGTTTATTGCAGTATTATCGAATATCTTTCATTCTTATGTCGTTATGTAGCCGTATATCCATTAATTCCAATTTCTCATTCCAGGTGAAGCAAAAAACCTTGCCGGTCGTGCCAATACATCATCAACAACAAAAGATGTGTATTGTACAGTTGCATTAGATCAGGAGGAAATCTGTCGAACACAATCACAAAGGAATCAAGCTCCATTCTTTGGAGAGGAGTTTTCTTTTGAGATACCAAGAAAATTTCGCTATTTATCCGTTTATGTACTAGAACGTGATCGACATTTAAAGCAGGATAAGGCGATAGGAAAGATAGCAATAAGACGCGGTGATTTACATTTATATAATCATAAGGATCATTGGTTTCCACTGCGACCAGTCGATGATGATTCCGAAGTTCAGGGTATGGCACAAATAGAAGTTAAAATCATCGACTCAGATGATGATCATAGTAAAGAAAATTTTAAATCGACGAGTAATAATTACACGACGACAACAATCTTATCACCTGCCACAAATCATCAAACGTCAAATCATAAAGCACCAAAACTCCTTCATTCCACACACACATCATCACTTGTTCAGAGATCGAGTAGTCAACAAGATGTGAGCCTAAAGCAACAGGGCAATTTCCTCAGAGTTCCTTACACAAACTCCTTTCATCAGAATCAAAGGATTCAAGTACGACTGAAAGCATGTTCGGATCTAACAAAAAAGAACAATCAATGTGATCCATATGCAACTATAACGGCACTTTATACAAATAAACGTAAAATAACAAGACGAACGAAAGTACGAAAGAAAACGATACATCCAACATTCGATGAAGTAGTTGAATTTAATCTTTATGATTTTACGCACGGAAGTGGATCACATGGTACAAGTGACAGTAAGATTTATACAGTGACGCCATTCGGCGGTAATGATTTGTGTGAGATTGTTGTGCAGCTATGGCATTCAGCTGGTATGGCTGAAGATAATTTCCTCGGTGAAGTAAGACTGCCAGCACGAGGCAAACAAGAGCTACAATATCTTCAACAATCAGCATGGTATTTTTTACTTCCACGTTCGAGTCAATCGAGACCTGCAAAATCATGCGCAACGCCGCCTGGTACACGACTTAGCTGTGAAAATTCATTAGGCTCATTGAGACTTAAACTTCATTATCAAGCAGATCATGTATTTCCATTAGCAAATTACGATCAATTATTGAATCTCCTCATACAGAGTGTAGAGCAACGTCCAATCACAACATCTGCCGTCTATTTATTAGGTGAAATGGTTGCGAATAAGCAAGAAATTGCACAGCCACTTGTGAGATTATTTACGCACAATAAGCGAATTGTGGATATAATTCAGCGACTAGCAGAATATGAGATATGTAAATTAACCGATCCAACGACGATATTTCGTGGCAATACACTCGTCTCGAAAATGATGGATGAGGCGATGAAATTAAGTGGTCTTCATTATCTTCACTCAACCCTAAGGCCAATCGTTGAGCTCATTTTACATGAGAAAAAGTGCTGTGAAATTGATCCGGCGCGAATAAATCGAGAAAAAACGTCAATTGAACAGAATCTTAATAATTTACATGACTATGTTGAGAAGGTGTTTGACGCCATCATCAGAAGTGCAAATAAGTGTCCACGTGTTCTCTGCGATATTTTCTACAATATGCGTGAGAGTGCGACGAAATATTTTCCACAGAATAAAGAGGTACGTTCTTGTTCCTTTCTTCTTATTTGTGTCAACGTAGCTTATTACATCACATCTCATATGTGTGCGCGTTGGCTGCTGACAAATAATCTCTTAATCTCACTGTCTCTTTCTTTCTTTTGTTGTGCATCAATAGGTTCGATACAGCGTGGTATCTGGCTTCATCTTTTTACGATTTTTCGCACCAGCAATCCTCGGACCAAAATTATTCGATCTAACTGCCGAGCCATTGGTGAGTATTAAGTTTATTGCATAACTTTACATGACTTAAAAGTCATTCATTCATGAAAATAAAGTAAAAAAAAACTATCCAATGACGAAAAGCCGTAGAAAAACAGCAAAACACAGAGGATGTGGGTTTTGTGGGCTTCTGAGAATGTCTACGAATGCCTTTAGTTTACTGCATGCTTAATAAGATTTTTTGAACGCATTTGCAGAAACTTTAAAGGTATATTTTTTGATGAATTTGCCAATATCAAGGAGCTATGCAAATGTTGAATATAAAGCCACAGAAACACTGCTTCCAAATCCAAGCTTACCATACTCTTAAATCATGACTAATTCAAATCAAATTAGCTTGACATTCTGAAAATAGAAACTCACTTTCCTTCGTCAAGTTACAACGTAACAATATCCGAAATCGGAAAATCTGATTAGCATGACACTAAGCTTCAAATAATGGAACACATACACGTAAATAAGCAAGCGACTCATTACGTTCCTTGCGAATATAAATAGTCGAAGACGAAAGAAAAAAAAAATTAAAAATTCTAATTTTCAATTATTTTGTCAATCAATATTACTTAACATTTTTGCCTTCCTTCTCGTACGCACAACCGCAGGCGACGAGAAATTCATGAATGAAATTTTATCGTTATTTGAATTGTAAATTGGTGTGGTGATTGTGACTTACAACAACGAGAGGAGAAAATTACTTTAATGATATGCAAGATGATTGGATTAGGGGATGTACTGGGTCGGGATTTGCTAGTTTTGAGGTGTAATCTAGTTCAAGGTCATGGAATGATAGATTGAGGCAAGCGTTTTGTGCAGTTTTGTGTGACCTTGACCGAAATTTCACGTGACTGGGATGGCATTTGACATGATTTGATGATAGCTTTGCATTTTTCGTGCCTTAGCTATTGAAAACTTAGTAGTTTCCAACTTAGTAACCCCTAGTCGATCAAATCTCAATTTTCCATCAATATTGAATCAAATTTCACCATAGCAATCATATTACCTTCGCTAAAAGCTTCATTAATTGCAGCAATCATCGATAATTCATAAATCGCGCATGTAAATTAAAATATTTTTCATATATCCACATCTAACATTATTTCAATTATATTATTTTTTTTTCATTTTATTTCTCATTTCCTTCCTCGGCTACCATTTGTGCTGCTGTAAGCAATGCTTCCTTCCTCCACTGCTTACTGCTTGTTTGATTCTTTTGTACTCATATTTTTTTCTTTTACATTGACAAAAAGTTTCGCATTACTATGAAAACAAACTAATGCCCCTCGACGACCACGACATAAGCAATTGAAAAACGTAAATGGGAATCGAATAACAAGAGCAGCTAGCTTCGCCATGCTATAATATAATTATTCAAATAGAACTTTGTTGGAGTAAGAGAAGAAAAAAATAATAAATTAAATTCAAAACTGAATTCAATGAGTCATTTTGTGACGACATTCTTCTTTTTTCCACAATTCCAACTTAGTTTTCGTTTTTAATTTCATAACTTTTGTTTTTATTGTTTTCTCGGCATCTCTCAATAAGAATAATAGCTAATCACGTTTAAGTGACGTTTAAATATTTACATTATTAAAAATCGGCCAATGAAAATGACGGCAATTCCATATACACACTATATTAGAGGAAAAGATTTGTATATAAGGCAAGATGAAATGTAAATTAAACAGAACAGTAAAGGAGTGGAAAATTAAGTCAAATAATTAACGATTAATAGAGCGCACTGGTGATTCAATTAATGGAAATTGAATTTAAATGGAATCGGAGCTTCTTCGCTTTGATTGAAATCTGATAAAGCATTGCTTGATTTTCAAAAAATAAAACATTTTGTGTTCAAAAGTTAAAAATTCTATTTTCGAAAGTTAAAACATTTTGTGTTCAAAAGTTAAAAATTCTATTTTCGAAAGTTAAAACATTTTGTGTTCAAAAGTTAAAAATTCTATTTTCGAAAGTTAAAAATCTTATTTTCGAAAGTTAAAACCTTTCTTCGAAATTTAAAGATTTAATTTCGAAAGTTAATAATTATAATTTCAAAAGTAAAGCATTCCGATTTCAAAAGTTGAAAGTTTTATTTTCGAAATTAAAAAATTCTATGTTTGAAAGTTAAAAATTCTATTTTCGAAAGTTAAACATTCTATTTTCAAAAGTTAAACATCCTTTTTTCGAAAGTTAAAAATCCTTTTTTCGAAAGTTAAAAATTCTATTTTGGAAAGTTAAATTTCGAAAGTGAAATATTTTAATTTAAAAAGTTAAAAATTATTTCAAAGGTTCTCAACCTATTTAAAAGCAATAACGGGACTTTAATATATTTAAATTATTTGCTCAACATCTTCTTCCGCTTGGATTAGCTTCTGAAAGTTTAAATAAATTAGAATAATTCTCGAATCTTATTAAAATCCATTAACCCACAATTGATCAAAGTTGTAGTAAAAAGTTGCATAAATTAAACTTTAAATCAATCAATTAATTTATCAAAGCAGCAGCGTAGAACTTTCCATTCACAAAAAAATTAAGGTTCACAAGCTCTATAATAGATTATTTTCAAGCAAATCTTAATTACAGCAAGACAATATGAATAAATGACCTTATGTTTTTCTTAGAAAAATGATGCGATAAGAAATAAGATTTTCTATTATGACTCATGAACGAACAACGAACTGGATATTCTGGGAAGGCAGAAGTTTCATTCAGATTCACAAAGAAATTAAATTAAAATATTTTAATAACTGATGCAATAAAATGTAAATTAATTTAAAGTCGAGTCAGGGGCTATCCTACTCAATGATTAAATAAAGCATAGCTTTGACCAGGGGAAGATACCCTGAGTAGCTATAAAAACCAACCTGAAGGATGCACATAGGTCAGAGTACCCCCCTGGCTACACACCATATCTTCAAGTTCTTTTATAGCTTCCGAAAAGTGCGCGATTGAAAAGAATTGATAAGTTTTGGCATACGAAACAAAAAAAAAATAAATGAAAAGCAAATGCAGCGACATAAGGCATAAGAAATACGAGAGAAAAGGAAGAGAAACAGACCGGAAGTGTGGTTTCAATTTTATATTTTTTTTTGCTTTGCTTTGTTTTACTTACTGCTGCTTTTCTGCATCATCGTTGACGGCGTCTCTTGTATATTTGAATATTATGCACATTCCTTTATATTCTTCTTTTCTTTTTGTATATTTTCAGGACTCACAAACAAATCGAACGCTTACGTTAATCTCAAAAACAATACAATCACTGGGGAATCTAGTGAGCTCACGATCAGCGCAACAACACGCAAAAGAGGAATTTACTGTCGAGTTATATAAGAAATTCTGCACCGAGAAGCATGTCGAGGCAGTCAAACGTTTTCTTGATGTCATTTCTTGTTCGACAAAAGACTCACGCGATGTCGAGGCATGTGGACATGAACCGATATTATTGAAGGACGGGTAAGGCATCACATTTAATATTTTGTTTTTAATGTCATGAAAATGTCATTTTTTCTATCTCTTTCTATTTCTTTCTCTCTCTTTCTTCCTCCTTGTAAAATCACAACAAATAACGATAAAAAAAATGAATTCAATGATGATATTTAGTGAATGGTGAGTTATTGTTGTTGTGTTTCTCTGTCGTTGACGTTAATATCCATTTTTTTTCGTTTTTTAACAATAAATCTTTAAAACATGCAATTTTCATTGTCTACGTCAATTCCAAATGAAGAAAGAATTTTGTTTATTGACTCATAAAACGTGTAATTCGATGCCAATTAATAAATATTTTTTTTTTATTTCTCATCTCAAAAATAAATGCAAATTCAGGATGATGACGAAACATGCACAAAATAGAAAACGTTTTGGACGGCGGAATTTTAAGCAGCGCTACTTCCGATTAACCACTCATACACTTAGTTATGCTAAAGCAAAAGGCAAACGACCAATCTGTGATATTCCGCTAACGGAACTTGCTGCCGTTGAGAGGCTTGAGGAGAAGAGTTTTAAACTACAAAATATTTTTCGGGTAAGTTTGAGATTTTTAACTAGTTTGATCATGTTATGGATATTATAGGATAAACAGTCAAAAAATATTTAAATTTTCAACGGCTTTAAAATATTTGAATTTTCAACTGTTGAAAAAATAGTTGAATTTTCAAGAAATTTAAATTTTAACTGTCAATCCTCAAAGTTAAGTTCCAAAATGTCCATAGCGTGACTAAGATAATCAATCAATCAGTATCGATGATACACTAATTCATCCGACTGCAATGCGTCATTTTTATTAATTCGTGCGTGAGTGTTCAGTCTATGTTTACATAAAATCCACTTTACTTTACATCTACGTCTTCTTCTTGCTTTTATTTCGTTCCATAATCTACTAAATATTGCAACACCTACACAATAAGCAGAGTAGAGAAATAAAAAATGTAAAAAAATTTCATCGCATGTGGATGATGAAGAATGAGATTGAATATGAGTAGATTATGAATAAGAGGACATGACTGATTGAATGCATAACAAATCGTAAAGTCATCAAGGCGAACGTCTCTCTTGAGACGAGTCAAAATCTTCCGCATGTAAAAAGTGCTTCTTATATATTTTGATAAGCCATATTTCTATTCCCTCCTCATTACTGTCTGTGATGGATAGTAGACATGAAATACTGGACATTGAAACTTTGTCTATGACAAGAATCACATTGCGTGAGACAAGATGATTGCTTGACTGAATGGAATATCTTTACAAATGATGGCAATTTTTGTCATAGAAAAGAAGAAGAAAATTGGATCAATGGACTCGTTTCTTTATTATGCTATCATTTACTATAATGTGGTGTGTCAACCGGTGGGAAAAATAATTCTCTACGGAGAGAATTCAAATTAGCTTAACTCTCATTTTTTACGCATAATTTCGCTGTTAAAATATGAACTTATAAATTTTCACTTGTTGAATTAGTGATTCATCTGAATATAGTCTCCTGTCTGTCCAAAGAAATGCGTAACGCAACTCCCACAATAGTGCGAATGAACTTTTTCGATGGAATTACACCATATTTTGTAATTAAACTTGCCTAAAATGATTCTTGCCATTCTGTAGGTGGAAGTAATTGATGAATATTGTGGCAATTCATTGTCTTAATTGAATTATTCGCAAACTAATATTAAATATGAGGACGCCATTTTGAAATTCAAGTTTGAATTTTAAGTAGTCGTTATATCATCAAGCATATCGAATTTCTCTAAAATAGCTATGAAATCATGAGAATAGCTATTAATGCTATGAAAAATCAATTTTCTCAAATCCAAATTGAATAATAATCATTTTCAACACAATAATAAACCACTTAGCATGAAGAAATGCGCCTCAGTTTCATAATTGAATATAACAGCACATCTGACTCTATTTCGCAAAGTGAATCGACGAAGAAATTAAGTCAAACAAATTTTAGTCCATTATCTACTGCTACTTCTCAGTTTCATCTTTCATTTCTTCATAATTCTCTACGTTATTCATTATAAAATGATGAATTATGCAAATAGCAAAAAAGAATATAAATGTAATGATGGGAAAACGGTGCTGTGCTCACCGATTGTTTCCAACAAAAGGAATTCATATTAATAATTTCATTTTTTTTTTATTCATCAGAAGTTGATGTGAAAAAATTGGATTTTAACGTGAATTATGATTGCAGAGCAATAGAGAGATTTCTAGGTAAAGCACAAGTGATGAGCTTGGGAACTATTTAGCTCTGTTATTTGTTCATCATTTGCTCTAATTTTTAAACATTTTACATCTGGCAAATTTTCTAAAAAAAAATCTCAGAAAATAAAATTGCCACATCGTGATACAAAAGGAGGAAAAATTTGTTTCGGCATCTTCATAATTTAATTGTTGAAAATTTTTTTACAACATTTTCTTTTTCTCACTTCTTACGGCATTTTCTGAGTTGCTGACAAAAGTTTCTGATGGAGCTAGTTTGACTGTCTTATTGGCTGATCTTGATTTCGTCAAAAGAATTCTTAAGTTGATCTTGGTTGATCATTGTTGAACTAGGTTGATCTAAGTAAATCTTCATCAACATAGGTTGATCTTAGTTGATATCAATTGAACTAGGTGGGTCTAGGTTGATATAATTTGAACTAGGTTGATCTAAGTTGATATCAATTGAACTAGGTTGATCTTAGTTGATAACAATTGAACTAGGTTGACCTAGGTTGATATCTCTCCAACTAGGTTGATCTAGGTTGATATAATTTGAACTAGGTTGATCTAAGTTGATATCAATTGAACTAGGTTGATCTTAGTTGATAACAATTGAACTAGGTTGATCTAGGTTTATATCTCTCCAACTAGGTTGATCTAGGTTGATATCTCTCCAACTAGGTTGATCTAGGTTGATATAATTTGAACTAGGTTGATCTAAGTTGATATCAATTGAACTAGGTTGATCTTAGTTGATAACAATTGAACTAGGTTGATCTAGGTTGATATCTCTCCAACTAGGTTGATCTAGGTTGATATCATTTGAACTAGGTTGATCTAAGTTGATATCAATTGAACTAGGTTGATCTTAGTTGATAACAATTGAACTAGGTTGATCTAGGTTGATATCTGTCCAACTAGGTTGATCTAGGTTGATATCATTTGAACTAGGTTGATCTAAGTTGATATTAATTGAAATAGGTTGATCTAGGTTGATATCAATTGAACTATGTTGAACTAGTTTGATATCTTTCCAACTAGGTTGATCTTTGTCAATATCAAATAGTCAAAACTAGTAAGTTTTGAAGATTCTGAGGACAATTATGTCAAGAATAAAGATAGAAATTCGCAAAAAAAAACAAAGCGTTAAAATGCGCTATAATAAAAACACTAAAACAAAAAGTTTTTACGCAAATTTTTTTACGTTCAATTTCAAATTTACGTCGACATCCAATTACCAAGTGACATAAATTTCATTTCATTCATCTCTATCTATTTTTTTTTCTCTCGTAATATTATTTTGCGCGCGCAATAGACTCACAGAATCTCACTTTTCTTCATTTAATAAGACAACAAAAAAAAAATATATGAATGAATATGACGAGAAGAAAAGCATAAAAAAAACTTTCTATAATTTCGCTTTTATTCTCATCGTCACCTATTTCTATTTGCTGAGGAACTCAACTAAATGAACTAGCTAGCTGACATTTTTGCGGAGGCTTTAATAAGAAAAAATGATAATTAGATTTTAATTGGAATCAACCTACAAAGAAGTTTTAGTTTTACTTCTTATTGTTCTCCATGCCAAGACTCACAGCAGGTATGGATGTATGAAAGATTCCGATGAGACGACGTGGAAAGCCACATTGAGTGTCCGTCCGGAAAGTTAAGAAAAACTTTCTGCTTCACCTGTAATGAATGAACCGCAAGCTTCCGGAATTTCTCATTAATTATCATCATTTGATGTTTGTCTTGACTTTGAGAATCCAAATGCCTGTGTTTTTGTGAAGCTAATTAGAGTTTGTGGTTGATGGAATTTTTTATTATTTTTTTTTTTTTATATTTTCATCTCAACTTACTTATTGCTTAGTATTTATTCACTTGAATAGCTCTAAAAATTCGTGCAAAATTACATTCTCTTTCCTTCCATTCATTCCACTATTTCTTTGCTGCTGATTGACGACGTTTTTTTTTTGTGTATATGATGAAGTTTGCAGATCGGATTACATGTTGATATAACAATTTCCTGTTCTCGAGTGCTTGCTCATCCAAAATACTCATGATTTTTTTTTTCTTTTATTATAGATCACGCGTAAGGATCGACCGTTGTACATTCAAACCGCAAATTGTGTTGAGGAGAAGAAGTGGGTGGACCTATTAAGTAAAATTTGTGAGAATAACAAACGAAGACTTGATACTTTCCATCCATGCGCTTTCATTAATGGTGAATGGACGTGGTATGTATTTTCTTGTTAATTTGTTACTGTAGTATTTCTTGTCTAGCGGACATGGTTTGGGAAATGTCTAGATTTTTTTTAAAAAGTCTTTTTTCTTATTCTACATGAAAATGTATACATTATCGACTGTATCTACGTCAATTGGGGAGTAAAGGTGTTCTGTTGCTGCTCATGGTTAACAGCTGACTTTTAATTTATTTTCTTTACTAAGTTTGACTTTTCAAAATTGAGATTTTGACTTGAATTGTGACTGAATTTCCTTGAATCTTGTCATCGTCTGTCTAACCATAGTTAGATGTTGACTTTTCTAGAATATTTCCCATTCGTGAGTATGAGAATGATCACTAGAGCTGTTGCCTTAGCTTTTTGACTTGGGAAGATCGAATGATGATTGAACCTTAGGATTTGAACTCTAAAATTGTCATTGAAGTTAACCCTAATGCTATTGAACTATCCCACAACTTCTAGACATTAACCTCTATCAAATGACCGCTAGATATCATCCATACCTACGCTTATTGACGCATAGAAAATATCAAAAGTTATTTATACAATAGAAAATAATAAATTTTAAAATATCTCACATTACAGCTGTAACGAAAGAGATCAGAATGCAAATGGATGTAAAGCGGTTGACGAAACACCGTTAGAAGTTGATCTTGTGACGCAATTAGATCCAGCTCGTGATTTACAACGTCTTCATTCATTAATTATCGGTATGTATATGAAAAATTATTATTTTAAAGTTGAATATTAAGTTACTCATTAATTATTTGTATATCCAACAGGCAATATGAATGTTATGACGAAATTCTTCGATACAAATATGCCAAAAAATGAGGAGACGGAATTTACACGTCAAACACTCCGAAGGCTCAGTGAAGAGGCGCTGAAACTCGATCAAATTCAACGTAATCATAGAAATAAGCAACTTAAGGATCTTAAAGTCGGCAGTAAACAAGAGCCGATTGGCGATGACAATTACATTCGTGGTGTGAGCTCATCGAATTTAAATTCGGGTTCATCAACAACTCCACGTCCTGTGACTACAACAAATCAACACTTTGATCTTCCACCAACTCTCTTTCAACGTGGACATTTTCTACGCAATTCCGATGGATTTTCGCATTTCTAACAGCCACTGTTGTGCTCTTGCTTGGTATGACGTTCCATTATGTGACACACGATAGATTTGAATTACACGAAATGGTGAAGAAGAACTGACGACTGAATTGCGACGACAAACACTTCAAATTTTGAATTATTTTCGAATCGACACACGATGAAATAAGATGAATGATGAAGATGATTATGTTGAACAATAGTCGCACTGAATGATGAAAGCGATCAGATCATGATAATGATGAGTGTGTGTGCATGTTGAATTCCACTTTTGTTTGTGGAATTTAAACATTTTTATACTACTTTCAAACAAAAAAAAATGAACTATGATGATGAAACTCTTGAGACTAAAAAAAAAAAAATTGATACAAAAATTGTATGTTGTGTAAAATTGTGTCTATTTTTAAGATAAATTTTAGAGAGAAAAGAAGAAAGAAAATGCAAAAAAAAATATTTATGAAAAAAAAAAAAAGTATCGTCTGAGGGGGGTTGACACCCCTTTTTGGCTATTCTCCTCCTTAATTTTCTTTCTTTTTTTTGTAATTTTTGTAATTATTGAATTTAGATTCTTTTTGTTCGTTATTATTTTGTAATAATTTTCCCGTGGAAAATTTCCTTTTTCTAGAAAATAATTTAAAATATTTTTTTTAAAAATGAAAAATGTTTTTTAATTAGTTGATATATGATGTATTATATTAAGTGAATAATTGTATAGTAAAAAAAAAGATTGGATAAGAACTTACAAAATAGATGATAAGTAAACGACAGACAAATTAAAATTAATAAAAAAAATGAATAGCAATATGAACTTTTAAAAAGCTGAAAAATCAAATAATGAAAAAAAAAACGTTTTCTTACTCACATTTATTTTTTTCTCAATTTTTTTTTCAGGAATTTACATTCATTGGAAATTAAATTAAAATTCTTTGGTCAAGTTTTCACATTTTTTTGAGCTCAACGTCTATTGTATCACATTTATTTAATGCTTCAATGCTCTAAACTTGAAATGTTGAATGTTTTCTTGCTGATTGTTTAACAATTCAATGCTAAAAGCTTCTCAAAACATTGGATATGTTGAATAAATAAAACTCTTATTTACAAAATTGAACATTTCATCAAATAACTCGCTTAAAATTGATACATTTCTGTCATATTTCCATAATAATTCAAATTTGATTGATAATTTTACGTATTGTTGACTAGTTGAGGGATGGAGAAGCGCTAGAATGAGAAAACATTGAGTAAAACAATAACGGATAAAATTTTGAATTTGTTTAGCATTACAAAAGTTTGTGGGTTATTGAAAGCTTGGATTGAGAGCTTTTGGAACTTTGAATTTAGAACCGTTGAAGCTTTTGATTGATAATTTCACTTTAAAAATCAACTGTGATTTTTTTCCCGACATCCAGAGACTTAATAATATGATAATAATAATAATATTGATTAATTCAACGAAAATTAATGAATAGAAAAATTTAAAATGTTTTTTTTTGTAACCTCCAATAGTTTGAATTTAAGTTCAAATTACAATTTACAACATTTCATAGTGGGCACAGCTTTGATGACATTCCTTCCTGTAGCCAACAAAGGAAGGCTGTGAGCCTCATTTCCAGTACATATGATTCGAAAAAGGACAAGTGAAAATTTACCGTACCCAGTCTCGATCCCATGACCTCTGTGTCGGTGTTGCAATAATTAGAGATCGAGGTACTTAATCATTCCACCACCAAGCCACTTCAGCTGACTAATTGTAAAAGTTGTAATTAAACCTTTGCTTAAAAAGATATTAATTACAGTCCACTCGTTTGTAAGAACTTTGAGCTACTTATTTTACTATAATTAATCTAATTTAAAATTCTCTTAGACCAAATTGAGATTGGTTTCAATAAATCTTGTTAAATCTTGGTCTTTATGTTAGGAATTCTTTAGATTTTAATTATTAACTCAACTTTAAAAAAAGCAATTAAGAAATTTTCACTTATTACAAATCGCTTTCTGGTGGGGGGGGGGTTGAGATTTTGTGACATTGCAAACAAAGAATTTATTTTACAAAATTACAAAAGGGGTAGTCTTAAACGCCAACATTTTTGCATTGCGTAATAAATGAAAGAATCTTAATTAGAGTCTTAAAATCAAATAATCTATAATTCCCACAAATATCTGTAACAATGTCAAAGTGTGTATCCACGATAATCCCACCAACCATATTTATTCAACACCTGCTATAATTAATACTACAACCAAAAACTCACAATCCTTAGATAAATTTACAGGAATTCATTAATTGCCTTTTTCTCATCAAACAAACTTAAAAGGAACAACCTTTTTTTCGTCTAAGCATAATTTCATAGCAACACATAATCTAATTAAGACACAAAAAATACCTTTCGTTCTCTCGGAAGTTTCAATGTCGTGGATCGTTTAAATGAAAAATTAAGGGATGTCTTCCTCGTCAATCTCTCGCTCATTTTTCTCGGCCAGCTGATTTTGTCGGCGTATTTGAGAGACGGCGTATCTAAGACTTATTGAAATGAGAAACAAATGGACACATTTAGTTGGACGATAAAGGCTAATGGCTGGGTTACAAATGATTATGAAAAATAAGTAAGTATAAATTTGTAAGGTTGAATGAATAGATGAGTAAAAGTAACAAAGGTTAAAAATAACAATTAGAATAATAGGGAAGAGATTGTTTACTCAGTAATGGAATTTAGAGATAAATTTGTTTCATGCTAGAAAGAAGTCAAACTGTTTTTATTTTGGTGCAGAAGATATAAAAGACTAACATCAGTTATTAATTAATTAAAAACAGATATAGAAAGAAATGGGGCAGGAGTCCGTAGAATTCAATTTTAGGGTATAGATAAACCTTTACGTACGCCAAAGTATTACTAAGTGTGTATTTTCTGACAAGACGCCAACCACCTTTAATGAATATTTTAAATATAAAGAAAAAGTTTTTTTGTGTAGATTTTATGTCTGTAAGATCTGATGCCTCTTCAAAAAATAAAATTTATATATATTTCATCTTAATATCCAATTAACATTCATTTAATTCAGCTCAAATGAATCATTTTAATGAGAATCACATCAAATAATCTCAATGTCCAAAAACTTACGTGCAGATGGTCCATTCTGTTGTGTGACTTGTATCATTCCAAATACAACTGCTGCTAAGGAGCTATGACTTGATGTTTGTCTTGTCAGTGAATTTGGCGTTGGTGTACGAGCCATTGGAATTCCAGCTGGATATATCGTTGGTGAAGCAAGTCGACTGACAGATTCATTCTTGCCTAAAACCCAATATGTAAACATGATGCCTTTACCTTTGACATTAATTTCGCCACGTGGCACACAAGTAAAGCCATTATTGCGTAACAATATTGCTGTATGTTCAGGTACTTGAATCTTCCAAATCTCACCGGTTGAATCCATTCGAGACGCTACGTTGACTAGAAATGAGAGGAAGGCATGATTAAATGACAGCTAATTAGTTGTTATGTTTTCTTGAGACGTAATTAATTGCTGATGATGATACACGTGCTATCACACATACCCTGCATCATCGACACAACCTTACTCACCCGTATTTCCCCAAATATCAAAAATTGGCTTTCGAGCTCCAATAACGCCACTCACAAGTGGACCCGATGAGATTCCAACACGCAATTGAAATGTGTTAAATGCATCCATATTTACTTCTTGCAATTTTTGTCGCATTGCCATTGCAAATTCCACCAGATCACATACTATATCTTCATCCGTTCCGCCTATTTCTGCTCGATGTTTTGGATTTAATCCTGATGATGCCATGTACGTTCTAGAACAATAAAGAGAAATTAAATGATGTGAAAGAAAGGCCGTGAATTAATTATCAACAACTTACTGTCCGACAGTTTTAATCTTCTCAACTGTCGCAAATCTCGGTTCATCCAACAATGCATCAAAGTCACAAATTATCTCGTTTAACACTCGTATACATGCTTTTCCATTTTCAACATCCTCGGAATAAAAATCTTTAAAATTGGGTATGCTGGCAAACATAACGCCACACAGGTCATGACTTTTAGAATAAATGTCATCAGACATTTCATGTGATAAGTAGAACGACGCTACATGCTCGGGCAAGATATTTTTTATTAATAAATCGTTAAGGTGTCGATTAGATTTCATATTGGATAATTCTCGTTCAGCCTCTTCCTTCCATATAAAGTCGAGACGTGCTGTGACCTCAACTAGCCGTGCATGATGAATAACCATTGTGAGAAATGCCAGTAACAGAATCACCATTTGTGTGGGTAATGTAATTCCAACTTGAATGTCCTGGTCTTCATCATATTTATTAAATATATCAGGATAGACAGCGAGGATGAGGAAGCAGAATATAGACACTAAGCCAACGGCTAATTGCATTTTGACAAGATAATAGAGTTTTAGTGCAGTAGCGAGAGCAATCAAGCATAAAGCCCATGAGAATACAACATATTCCGGATGTATACAGGACGGTTGATTCTTAATTGCATCACATTCAAGACATTCAATCGTTTCATTGCTGTATAGTTCAATTGTTGCATTGCTTTCAATCATTTTTGTGGTTTCATTAAAAAAAGCAGCAAATAAGTCGGTGAATATTTTTGGTTTTGCATCAGGGAAGCACATAATAAGGGCTATAGAACTCGCGGCTGACATTAATGTTACAGCAACTGCCACAAAAATTGTACGACGATTTCTATCATGAACAAGTGATGCTGATAATTCTTGCAGCCATAAATATAATCCACGAAATTCTTCAGCCATGACGAGGACGCAACCAGCGGAAATTATGCAGGTAGTCACGATAAGCGTAATTGTGAGGTAAGAACATCGTGGAATTATCACAAATTGGCACATCACAATGAAAATCCATACGACAAACATGCACAGCATATTAGATCTAAACATATCTTCGCGTAACTGACAGAAGCAAACCTCCTGTAGCGGTTCCTTAAATTTTAACGTCCACGGATTTAAATATTCTTCACGCATCTGCTTATTTGAATTAATTTGAATATTCTGATCGATTAACTCCCCAACCTCCTCGGGTACGACCGAGAGTGAATCAAATTCTTCAGTATTCTCAACGTTTTCTGGTGATTGAATTACAGTCTTTAACTGTGAATAATTATAAGACAACAACAAGATAATATAATTATTTAAGAATTAATTAAGAAAGTGGAAAATTTTAAATCTTCATATTCTTACGTTCTGAAAAGGAATCTCCGGAATCCAATTTGTCTGTTCATCTTCTTTCATCGTTGTTCTTGAAGTTTGTTTCGACAACAAACTTTCTCTGTTTTCACTCGATTGCCTCCGAATTTGTTGAGAATCTTTGTGCATTAAGCGACTCCGCCTTACCCGTAATGGGTCGCTACGCTTTATTAAATGAGTCTTTATGTTCATCATTTTTAAATGATTATCGCGTGATTCTCCATCACCCGGCTCGACATCATAAGCATTATTCAGACATTTAAGAGTCGCTTCACTTATATGAACTCTGCCTGGAATGCCGCCACTTTCCATGTGATTTGCAATTATCACATCATTTGACCAAACATCAAAATGCCACTTTTTATCACCCAAAACGCCGCACATAACGCTTCCACTATGAATTCCAATTCGCATGTCTAAGTCTTGTACATTTGTGCTATTTCTGACGTCTTTAATTGCCTTAATCATAAAAAGACCCGTCTCTACACAACAAATTGCGTGATCTGGTCGAGACTTCCAACTTTGTTGATCGAACATTGAGATGCAATAGTAACAATCACCGAGTAACTTGATACGAAGACAGTGATTATCCTAAAATATATAATAAAGAAGAACTGTATCAATTTCTAAAATTATTAATCATCAATCCATGCATGAAACTTAATAAATATATTAATCTTGATGCCTTTTCATGCGTGAATCAATCAGTTCCTTAATTTTATATCCTTAGGAATCGATTCCTTACCTCAGCAATTTTATCAAATCTCGCAAATAAATCATTCAAAATTTTGACGAGCTGCTGAGCTGATACAGTACTGGCAAGTTGCGTAAATCCTTTAATATCAGCAAAAAGAATGCTCACATTATCCATATGATAAATGTACAATTTTTTAAATTGTGTATCCGCCTCGTTTGGTGTTTTGTACATCTCCTTTCTTATGTCATTGTTGACGAACATTGGAAGTACTAAAAATAATATATATATTTATGCTTTGTATTAGCTTTGTTGAGGAATTAAGTTGAAAGTAGTATTTAGCTTGAAGCTTCATTTTAAATTAGGGATTAGTGTCAAAATATATAAAAGGTTTGTTGTTGTTTGCCTTTGTATGCTTTTATATTATAGACTTGATGTTTTTAGAAGAATTTTAAAGAATTTCCTATTTGTGAAGTGCAGTTTGGGTCGTGTGTTGGAAATGGAAAGGATATCCATTCAGAAAGTGTTTGATCTGACATAAATAGGAAAGGCTTTATCAATAGGAATTGAAAATGTTAATGTTGTTTGACAGCCACATACATTGAATCTGAAAATTAAAAAAACTCGGCAAACAGTCTTAAGTTTGAATCCTAGTTCAATATGATTTGATGCCATTTTGAATCATAAACATTAAAAATCGACAAAAATTCTCGAATCATTGAATCCAGACATAAAGAAGATGTTCGAATCCCATTAAAACTAGTTTAATTTCAATAAAAATGCGCTTAAGCTTATTACAGCATAATTTAACTTGCCATAAATGAGAAAAACTCAACTCATAAAGGTGTCATAACAGAACTTAGATTAATTCAACAGAACATACATTAATGCTTGTTTCCTTTTCTATGGAAATAAATTTTTCACAATTAATTGGAGCAGAAATTGTAATAATAGAAGTAAGAGAGCATTTTATGTAGGATAACATGGTTTTGTTTTGCATAACAGCAAACTTTAATCACGTTTTAGGAGGCTGGGTAGTTATTATTTACAAAGCCATATGAAAAAAGCTTCGCTGGAAGCACAAAATGTTTTGATGTCTTTCTGAAAACCTTTAACTTTTGCGGACTGTCGTCTTACAAAATTCTGAGAACAATTTGCGTAAAATAAATCTTCTTCCATCAACATTTAAATGTCAATCATCATACTTACTGGAATCAAGCAGTCGCTGTGTTTTTTGATATTCCTTTTCAGATTCCTTTTTATGCTCCATCGCTTTATGCGTTTCAATAAATGCCAATCGCTGACCCCGATCTGTCAAATATTTTGTGTACATTCCAGCAAAATTGACGGCTATGTAAAGTAAGGAGTTTGCAACCATTTGCCTGATGACGCACATTGAGTTTGTGTGCAATTCATCATCCTTCGATGACTGTAGTTTTGCAATGGTTGTAATGATGATATGAGTTGTTGCAGTTAATGTCCCTCCAGCGACACACCATTTAAGAGGTAAAGGGAGCATAGCATATGGCACGAAAAGTATGAACAAGATATACCAAACTAAATATTCACGTTCTGCAAAACCAATTCCATCGCCAACGAATCCTGTCAACATTCGGATAGAAATAATAATTTTAAAGCTCGCAAGCAATAAAGAACACTTTTACCTTGTAAAGTTAGCAATAGCCATGTACATACAGCAGCCCAATGTAAATAATTGTTGGCAAAGCATCTCCATAAGCCTAACGAACATATTCCCAAATTGGCGAGTACGCAAAATATTGACCACACTGTTGCACTTATTGGAATACTCTGTGGGATGATAATTCAATCAGTTTTTAGGTTATGAATTTTTTAAATATAGCAAAAAGCGCGGATGATGACGTTATTGGATTAAGAATTGCTTATTTTGGTTGGAAACTGATAAAGCAGTATCCAATGCATTCCTAAAACTTCAAAGAAGAACTTCAGATTCCCACGACTAAATTAGACTCAAGATAAGGAATCCCTTACAAAAACCCACACACATCACCTCCCACAAAAATCAATCAAAAAGCTTCAATCAACACTCACATCCTCCTGTTGCTGAAAAATCCACACGACAGCAAGCACAAGCTTTAAAACCAAATCAACAGCATTCACAATAATTAATGACTTTTGTCTCTGTCGATGTGAGTATGTCAGATAGCTTCGTTCTAATGATACGGCTCTGAAATTAACAAGCAAGAGTTGTCAGTTAATTAATTTGATGAAAGTTTAAGTTTAATCAATTTACCGAAATGAGTTTGTTAAGGATGGACATAAAATTCCGCGAACAACATTTCCCTTTTTAAATGCAGCATATGTAGTGCTTGAAAATGGCATCGAGACACGGTGCTCATAATGAGTTGTACTTAATGGACGTATAGATGCAGAAGATCGTCGCCGGAGAACTTTGTTGCTATTTTCTATTTCCGTATCGATTACATTGACACTTATCGTACTGCCAGTCATGTGTGCAAAATTAAGTGTGTCTCTCCCATTACCCATTCCATCTCGGTTTGGTGCCAGTGAATGTTCTTTAAAGTTTAATTGAAGTTCACCAAGCTTGGGACTGGAAAGAAAAATATTCAAAATATTTAATTTTTGTGATTTAATAACTCAGCTGTTCTACGAAAACAATATGAAGGTCAGTGAGCATATGAGAAAATTTAATTAAGCTTGAGAGCGGCAACCTTTTCTCTTTTCAGCATTTTTTATTGTGTTTAATAAGTGCACAAAATTATTCTTTATCAACATTGTTTAATGTATGTATAGAAATGAGCATAATGAGTGGAGAAAATGTTGTTACTGCAGGGATGTAGGGTTGGGTTTGAAGCGACTCTGTTACACTTAAAGAAAAGCTAGGCTAGCCATCGACTAGCCATCGACTGGCCACTGACTTACTATTAAATAGGCATCGACTAGCTTTCGACTAGCTCTCGACTAGACATCGACTAGAAATGTAGGGTTTTGCTTAGAACAAAAACGGCACTTAGATCAATGATCTGTTGTACCATCAGCCAGTAATTCTCCAATTGAATTCGTTTTCAATATCCTGATCAACAAGTAATTGATTTTCAATTGAAATAAAAAATAAAAGTCATGAATTTAAAGTTTCATGTCAATAAAATAGGTCAAATCGATGAATAATCCTTGCAGAATTAAATGATTATTTATCGAGTTTTCGATAGATTTTTTTTTTTACAAATTTTCACTTAAATTAATCAATGCTCAGTCAGACTAATTGAATCGCAAACATCCCTTCTTCTTACATAAAATTTCCAAGGCATTAAGGTCGTCGTGTTTTATCATTATGTTCACTTCCATTGAACAAATTATTAACCTTTTTTATATCTAAATCTATTTTTAAATCTAATTTACTAGATTGAAAATTATATGGACCTAGACATACATGGTGTTGTGCTGTATATTATGTAAATAATGCAATTATTTGAATAAAGAACTTAGCAAAAAATAAATAAAATCTGTGATGAAATAAAATTCCATAAGGTTCTATATAATCAGCGAGCTAGAAAATGTTTGGAAAACAATGAAGCTTTATGCTTGGTTTATTAAATTTGTTGCGAGAGGAATAATCAATTTGACATAATTAAATTAATGAATGGCACAGGAAATAGTCTGATAATGAGTTTTTATAATTCAAATGCATTATTTTGCAGTTTTTAATAGCCATAATTTAATTTTTAAGGCAACATCGAATAAATGTGAATTTCGATAGGGACACAGAGTTGGAATTGATCTGATAAGAATGTTCATTATTATGAATTTATGATGTCAACAACATAATCTTGATTATTAACTGCCCTCGAGTTTGTAATTTTCTTATTCATTCTGTTCCTTTATTTTTATGTTCCTGTTTAGGAAATCTAATTGGGAATTTTTCTCAGAAATTGTTTTTATCATTATAATTTGACCTTTATAGCTTAGCATTTGATAATATGCTGTTTTAGAGATCATATGATAACAATTGAGCTTTAGGAAGTAATGAAAATTCAACATTAATGCGGATTTGCTTAATTTAAAGATTAAACTGAAGTTTATTAAGCATTAGATCTTAATTGAGATTAAAAAAAGATTTTAAGAATTCAACATTCCCAAATTCCAAAAAAAATCATCTGCATTTCATTTTAAATTTTTATAAAATCTTCAGTTCTTCTATAACATCTCTGAATTTAAATAAACACACAATGAGGGATGAAGTTGGTCGAAAAAATACCAATTTTCCATTAATAAATAAATGAATTTCGAAACCATATTTTTCATCATTTTCCAACTCATTTAATAAGTCAATAATAGCAAAAAATATTAATCTCAGATGGATAAATTTATTTGAAAGAACTTTTGAATCGATTAAGGAATTTGATTTAAAAGATGCATTGAAAGTATTAAACAGTTTTGATCCTTATTAAGCCTATCAATTTAGTTGAAAGGGTCTAGAACCACAATGTTAAGTTAAATTTGAATTTATTTCAATTTTCTTTAAAAGGATAACATGCGTCATAACTTAAATTTGAGATTTAAATAATATTTGTTTCAAAAAAGTTGTATGCCCCTTTTCATCCAAATATTCAATCTATTTACGAACTCCGAATAATAAAGAACGTTTTATTACAATAAAAACGTTTAGCATAATTTAATCAAGTCACAATTACAAAAACATTAGAGTCTATTAAAGATCTCAGTACATTGCATTTAACAAAGCACATCCATTTCATGATCCTTCGAGCTTCCTTCTTGATTTAAGTAAATAACAAATATGAAGTTGCTTACGGCTTTTTGTCTTTTAAAACGATTGCTAACCTTTCAGAATATGGACATCGAAAACAAAAATTTAATATGCAAAATATGAACAACAATTTTCCTTAAATTGTATCTGGCATTTTGTTAAAGGTTAAGGCATTCATGAAGAATTGGTTGAAAAAAAAATTGAAATTTTGAAAAATAATTAAAAATTTGGTTAAATGAATTTTGATTCATAAAGACTTTAAACTAATGCATTTCAGCTTATTTCTAAGTTTCTAATTCATCTTAAATGTTTCCTTTTCTAACATAATCCTTGATGTTTGATATTTTGCAAAACTACTATTAAAAAATCTTCTTAAAATTCTTTAAAGATTAAATCTTCTAAATCAAATATTAAATTTCCCAATTGTAGAATGAAATATTAAATGCTTTAAAAAATTAATTCAAATTAAAAAGATTTTTTTTTCTCTCAATGGAAATAAAAAAGTTTATTAAATTGAAAAAGTTTTCAGTTTGAATGAGGAAGTAATTTGGACTTTTTCTGAAAAGTCATCAAAATTTATTTTTGTGAGTGACATGCTAATAATATTAATTCAACATATCCATTTTTCATGATCAAATCCCATAAGTACACAAATTTACACAGTCCCGAGAATAATTAACCAAAGTTTAATTATTAATAAACATTCGACATCTATTACGAGCATTAAATATCCAATTAAAAAGTTTTTAAAAAAATTAAAAAGCCCTCTAGTGTGATTGAACATGTCGACAGCACGCAACGAATCCTGTGAGAGCACAAATTGTACATGAATTAATGAAATTCAAGTTCGAATTTCAAAACTTTATCTGTGCACGTAATATCCACAGGCAATTGGTTTGTTTGTGGCATATATTTGAATGTTAATTAAATTCAATAACAAATTCTCACGAGTCAATAAAAATATTGCAGCGAATTGGGATATTCGTAAATGATGTCAACAATTAAGTGGTTTTGATCACGCTACGGACATTTCAGTGTCGAAAAATGGTCAAATTTAATCGACCTAGCGTTTGAATATTTTAAACCCGTTAAAAATTTGTCCACTTTAATATTAATATTTAAGTTCTAGTAATTTGGATGACTTGGATGATTTTAGCTAAACTGTGCTAAACAAGAAGCTAAGAATAAGAATCGTTTACCTTGTTTTTGCCAGTTTTCGCAAGAAATGTTTTTTCGACGTGTCCGTAACATGGTTTTGATATGAATGATCTGTTGGTTCTCTCCTCCAAAGAGACACCTTAGCTCACAAAATTCATAAAATGACGTCATTTCCAAACAAACCCTAATTGAATTCCAATAATGAAATCAGAGAGTATCATAACGAATTTAATAAAGCATATTATTACTAATAGAATTATCAAGAGTGATTCTTCTTCATCTCATTAAATTTTTATCTTTATAGACATCGCATCCCACCGAGATTGAAAATACTCACCGCAATAAACTCTTCTCTGTGATTCCATCTTCTTCGTCATTCTCCATCCTTATTATGAAACTTTTGTTTTTTATTTGCGTGAGTCTGATGAAAACTTTACCAACAGCGATTCAGCTGAAGCTGTTTCTATTTATTATCAATGTAAATTTCACATTAACAACTTTTAATTGTAAGTTTTTTTTTTATATCCATTCACTCTGTAACTTATTTAATTAAATTGCTCTATTGAATCATGCTGTGAACATAACCATGAGATAAATTTTCATCTTGTTCTCCACTTTTTAACAGCTTTCCTTCACAAATTTGTAAGCTTTTCATGTTATTTTTTTTAATCCACGGGAACTTATGAACATCAACTTTGAAATACAATTTTTTTTATCGCTATACATAATCCACAATGTCTTGAATAAACTATGTTAATGCTTCATTGTCATGCTCTTTTGAATTATTAATGGAAGGTTAAATTGTTTTTTTACTTTTTTTACTTTTTGAAATGTTATTTTGAAGCATTTTGTCTGGGATTGTATGTTTGAAATTGAGATTGGATTTGATTGTTGCTTTTCTAGTATTTTTAAGTGGATTTGACTATATATTACCAAAGATAGTCAAAAAGATTAAGATTGATCAAAAATGATTTTTAACATTAACAAAATTTATCAAAACGCACTTTATAAGTTCCGCATCCTTAATTTTACCCGAAATTCAACTTCATTCTATCAGATTCTAACATAACAAATGTGAAAGTTCTCATAAATTCATTAGATAACTCTACAGAAACTTAAATTCAAAACCAAAACTCAATTTTAATCAAAACTTCTACCAACATTAATCAATATTCCGACAAGTGACCTTCTCAACACAAATTATTATTTTAGGATTTATCAAACAAAATCAAGTTCAACAAAAAACAAAACAAGAAAATCTCAATCGTAATCAAAGTAAACTCAAAGTGAGCATTGAAATAGAAAAAGTAAATTCTTAAAGCAAATCTTTATCTCAAGGATTTAATTATTTACACAGAAAGTTATCTACAATGTAAGACAAACTTCCATTATCATAATTGCTGTATTGTTATTAATAATAATAAATGCCAAGATTTCAAACAAACTCTCAAAAACTTTTACTGAATTGTTTGCAATTTTTTTTTTTTGAAGCCTTAGTTTGTAATACTAGTTCATTTTTGTCAGGAGTTTTATGATTAGGTTAATTATATAAATCTCCAAATTTATATTATAAAAATTAAAAAAGTTTTTTCAAAGCCAGAAAAGTTTAGAGTAATTAAAGAAATGTGATTGTTTTAACGGATGAGATTTAATGTAGGAAAATGTGACACGAAGGAACCAGAATGATTTGTTAAAATAAAATGAAATTTTGGCTTTTAAAAATTATTAGCATTGTCAGGTTAAAACAGTCATCCAATAATTTTGCTAATGCTAAGATATTCTTTATTTGTAAAGATAGAGCCAGTTTTAGAAGAACTCTGAATGCCCAACTTAACCAAAAAAGTAAGTAAGTAAGATATTCTTAGATCAATCTGCATTCCTAGTAACCAAAATCATCCATATGTATTATTTTGACGTTCCTAATGAATGTAATACATATGGACGATTTTGGTTACTAGGAATCTACTGAATGCAGAGTTATACTACTGAATCAAAGATTCTTTAGTCAACTGAATCAGAGATTTCTCAAATACTTTAAAATATCTCTCAAAACTTGCTTAAACTTAGCTCATCTATAAAAGAAATGTAAATAATAAATTGAGGTACACGAAACCAACGAGCGTTAGCTGTTTCTTAATATACATAAAATATTCTTACTTCTTACTGCAATGAACTTGTCACACAAAAAATTCAAGAGCAGAAAAAATTAATTTCTTCTTAAAATCGTTTAAAAAAACTGACATAAAAGGAATGGCAAGAGAAAAAGTTGTTGCATGCTGATAAGAGATGGAGAAAATATGAAAAATATTTTCTCGTGCTTATTTGACTTAAACAAGTCACAAAATAAATAAATAAATAAATACTTCATTACGCGTACATTCTTTATCGTCTCCTTCAGAGAAGTGGAATAATTTTTTTATTAGGAGAATTTGAGAGATTGTAAGTACCAAATTTATATGCATAACATAGCAAGAATCAGAAAAGAATGAGAAAAATATAAGGTCGCAAATGCTTATTCGGTTTGCTTGGGGGCTGTTTAGTTATGACGTTTTGACATTTAGGAATGGTTGCAACAATTGTGGAATCACTACTATAAACTTGACTTTCAGTTCCTCTAACATCCACTTTACTAAGCCACAAACAGCAAAAAAATTCTTGAAAAATCTCACTTTAATGCCTATAAACATCAACTCTAAGCAAACCCCTTAATTCACTTGTTGACTGCCTTCAATATTTTTTTTATACTACATCTTACTGTATTTACAGAAAAATTTCCTCAATGATAAGATAAAGCTTTTTTTATGATATTTAATTCACTACGGGTAGAATGAAAGAAAGAGATTGGACAGAAAAGATTCTTTGTACATTATGTATCGTGACCTACGTAATCTCACTCTGTGCAAAAAAATTCATTTCTGTAAGTAATTTTTCATCTTTAGAATTTTTATTTGCCAAACATTCTCATCAATGACGAACGTCTTTGATTTGTTTTTCTATTTAAAAAGAATTTCTTGCACGTTTTTTGATTTATCCAAAAATATATTTTTAAAAATTTTTCAATTGATTCATCTTTTGTTGCTAGAGAATGATTTCTGACATTTGGAATTCATCAATAGACTTTTTAAATTTAAGACTTCAGTGAACACTTTGACAATAGGAAGCATTATTTATGATGATCAAGTTATTAAAGTTCAGGGAAATGTAAAAATAATATATAGAAGTTTGGGAAATTAATAAGTGAACATTTATAGAATTAAGAGTGAGTTGGTATAGCTTTTGAAAGAAGATTTAATTCAAATATTAAAGAAATTCTGAACATTAATGTCTTGTACTTGATTTTTGCACTAATCTCCCACCAATTGCAATGATTTATCATTCTTTGTGTAGTTTTAAAGCTTTTTGTTTGCGTGTTTGTAGCAGACATCATAGAGAGCTCGGGTTTGCTTTCTTAGCTCTGTTACTATTGATTTATATGTTCATCGAATAGTTAAAGGTCTTTAAACAGTGAACGTTTACTTTTATCAATCAATTTTAATTTCAAATGAAAAACACGTGATGAGTGCGTTCAAAAATTTGAATTATTTTTTAACCGTTGTAAAATTTGATTTGCAAAAAGAACTTTAAAGAAAATGAAGTCGTTTATGAATCAACCCTAATCAAGAATTTTTAAGAAAATCTTTAAATATCTTTTAAACTCTAAATCCATAATTAAAATCACGCAACTCTTTTCTTCGTACACTTAAAAAATGATTAATTGATTTTTTAACTTAATTGAAATCGTCTGGAATGTTCAAGAAATATCAAGTGTATTAACTCTGAAATTCGATTCCAAATTTTACACAAAATTAAACAGCTTAAACCTCTGCCAAAATTATCTTATCAGCTCTTGTCATCATAAATTCAATCTCATATCTTTTAATGCAGAAATTTACACAGAATTAAACACTCAAAAAATTTCCTTCAAAATTGACCCTTAAGTAGGGTTACCATCTAGTTTTTATGAAAATACAGGACATTTGGTAAATTTTTTCGAAAAAAACAGGACATAGAGTAAAATTCGAAAATTAACGGAAATTTTCATGAAAAAAATACAGGACCAGGAACAAAATTTAAAAATTTATACAGGACAGGGTTTTGAAATACAGGACTGTCCGTTGTAAAACTACGCAGATGGTCACCCTACCCTTAAGATTTCTTTGAAAAATCATCAATCAGTAACCTAGACAGACTGAGTATCTAGTAACTTTGTCAACCTTTTAGAATTAAATTATAAATTTTCTTCCGTTAAAGCTTTTTTACGAGAAAAATTTTGTGCAGCCAAATTGAATTCATCTGTCACCCCCAGAAAAAAATATTACTTCCTCTCATCTCCCATTGACGTTAATTTTTCGTTTTCCTAATTCAATAAAATATTTATATTCAATTTTCATATATTTTTATGAGCTTTCATTCAATCCACGCACTCCAATCACTTCAATTTTTAACATAAATAAATTTTCACGGCAGTCTGCTTACTTATGCTCCCATCCGATACATATTATCCCCAAAATAATAATTTCCAGCTGAATAAATTCTATTTGATAGAAACCTAAATAGCATTTCAAAGAGTTTTATAAAAATTATAGCTCATAAGCTGTCACAGACAATTCACTAATATATCTCTCTATTTTTAATCATTCACACTGTGAGACGCACTTTGAAATCAGTATTTTTTCCATCCGATCGCGGCGACAACAGATGAAAAACTGAAGATAAAATTGTGATGATAACATGAAAATCGTTTCTGTTCTGCTCACTTCCGTTGTGAGAAAATGAGATGAAAAGAAATTGAGAGAGTTTTTGCCATGTGCTTCCGAATTTTGTTTCTCTCATGCTTACAGCTAGATTGTGAGACGACAATAGAAAATTACTTTAATGGATAAAGTTTGCTTACATATGTTTCGTTAAATTAATAATTCATAGATGAAAGTGCAAACAAAAAGCTTGTTATTTAATTTTTAAGCTCAAGTTTTGACAGGAAATTTAATGCATGAAGCTTACAGGGAAAGTTTAGTAAGATCTTTAAACGGAAATTCATTTGGGGTCATTCACTTATGACGTCATTTATAAATAGAAATTTTAGAGCCCACTCTAGAGCCTCTTATCACAAAAATTCAGACTTAAAATAATGGTAGCCTTAAGTTAATGGTACCTTAAAAATGACGTTCAGAATTAAGACAAGATAGATGAATAGGAAGGTAGGTTTGTATCTCTGTGGCAAAATTAAGATGTTAATGAAAGCACTGAGACTCAACGAAAGCACATTCATTTTTCTATAAGGGCGATTCTCCAGAACGGTGGAATTTTTCAAATGAGCTTTTATAATCCGTTGTCAATTATGATTACATCATAAATATTTATTCTGCAATTTCTTTCAATATAGAATGATTTGAAATTTTAAATTAATTTACAACCATCAATAATAATTTACTTTTATCATAAATGATGAAATTTGTCAAAAAAGTAGCTTGAAAGTTTAGAATTACAGT